ACAAGTGCGTGAGCATCTTCATGCATAGATGGTGGTGATTGGTTCAAGTGATGAAGTGGGTGGGTTTGGATTTTTATTTATTAATGTAGTAATAGTTGTATTTAGGTGGCGGGGACCCAGTTACTTGAGCCATTGCCTGCTACTTCCCACAGAGCTCATTATCAGGAAGTTGAAATAGAAAAAGGAATTGGGACTTGAACTCAGGTAGCCCTACATGGGAGCCATTTGTCCCAAGTGGTGTCTTTTCTGTTTGTGCACCAAATGCCTGCCTTCCTGCTCCTCTGCTCCGAGATGTAAGAAAGCTTCCCTTCCCAGGGCTTATCCAGCCACTTTCTCCCAGGGACAGAGAGCAACTTTGTTGCTCGGTGGCTAAATCCTCACCTTGCACCAGTTCCTGTCTCAGCTGTTCCACTTCCCATCCAGCTTCTTGCTTGTGGCCTGGGAAGACAGTCAAGAATGGCCCAAAAATAACATTGACCTAGAGGCAGTGAGAGGAAGGTTCTGAAATGGATTCTCCTTTGGAATACTAAAGACTTAAATGAAAAGCTGAGTTGAGGTTGAGTGTATCAGTTCTTGTTTTGCATAAAGCAAAGATAGTGTCTTGAAATCTAGGCAACTTTAACAGTATAAACTACAATAAAAACAGTTGTCCAAGGAGGAAATAATAGTATGCTGGTTTGTTCAGCAGTTAAACAAAGCAGTCACAAAATACAGAAGGAGAGACAGAAAGATCTAATGTCCACTGGGTCACTCCCCAACTGATCACAGTGGCCAGTGCTGAACTGCTCTGGAGCCAGGAGCCAGGAGCTTATTCCAGGTCTCCCATGTGGAACCAGGGACCCACAGTATTGGACCTTGTCCCAGGCTCATTTTGTGATACTAAAGTTATTTTGCAGGCTCATCCATCCTAAAAACCAATTACAGCCCCTCTAAAGTTGCTCACACATCCCCCTTCCCATTTCCTGCCTTCCTGTGAATAGGGTATCTAATTTTCAGCCATCTGACTTCTGGAATTTTCTTTTGTACAGCTGTTACACATGTGCATGGACAGATTTGTTTGCTTTTTCTCCTGTTAATCTATTAGAGCTTTTCCAGCAGATCCAGTTATTGAACCAAGAAAAGATTGGGGCTGGTTTAGAAGCAGACAGGCACAGACGAGCAGGGGAGCACAGGGTGACCCGATGGACGTTTACAGATTTCAAGGTCAAGATGAGGTAGCTGACATGCTTTTTTTGGGGTTTGTTTTTTGACCATTTCGTGGTGGGAGGTTAACAGTAGTAGGGGCCATGGTACTGAGTAGGAAACCATTGAATAATTGTTTGTTTTAAAGATTTATTTGTTATTATTGGAAAGGCAGATTTACGAGAAGAGAAACAAACATCTTCTGTCCACTGGTTCTCTCCCCAAGTGACTGCAATGGCCAAAGCTGATCTGACCTGAAGCCAGGAGTCATTTCTGAGTTTCCTGTGTGGGTTTGGAGAGCCAGGGAGGACTCAAGATTATACCTATATGGGATACTGGTGCTGTAGACGGAACTTTGCTTCACAAGCCACAGCACCGGCCTTCAGATCATCTCTGATTGTTATCTGTCATTTCTTGCCTTTTTTCTTTTTTTAAGATTTATTTTTATTATTTTTTTATTGCAAAGTCAGATATACAGAGAGGAGGAGAGCCAGAGAGGAAGATCTTCTGTCCAGTGATTCACTCCCCAAGTGACCACAATAGCCGCAGCTGAGCCGATCTGAAGCCAGGAGCCAGGAGTCTCTTCCGGGTCTCCCACACAGGTGCAGGGTCCCAAGGCTTTGGGCTGTTCTCAGCTGCTTTCCCAGGCCACAGGCAGGGAGCTGGATGGGAAGTGGAGTCGCTGGGATTATAACTGGCACCCATATGGGATCCCAGTACATGCAGGGCAAGGACTTTAACCACTAGGCTACTGTGCCAGGCCCATGTCTGTCGTTTCTAATACTTTAGTATCTTTTCTTCTAAAGTTTAATTTGACTTCAGATATGTTTTAGACAGTTTTGTTTTCATTAATCATTCACTATCAGTTGTTCCTTGGATTGATCCAAATTTTATGTTTGTCTCGTAGGAGCTAAACTGGGTCTTCAAGTGGAGCAGGAAAAGAATTGAGATGAGGAATGGTTTTAAGAATTAGAATATCCTGAGAGGCAAGGGAAAATTAAATGAAAGGGATGTATGTATTGTGGTCTTAAGACTTTGATATAAAGAATATTTCATAATTTATCCTGAAAAAGTTAAGAAAGCAGGCAAGTGTTTCATTTTGGAAAGTCACACTACAAAAAGAGAAAAAAAAGTCAGACTACAGTCTTAATTGTGAAGCATTACAAAAATTTTGCTTTTTATTTTCTTGCCTTTTCCTGTGTAATCAGATTCTTTTCCCTTATTAAAGAGCTCCCTCATCCCTGGCTTTAGTTTTTAATCGTGTGAAGTAAATGTAGTCTGAAAATTAGGGGTGGTGGGGGCTGAATTTGGCTTTATGTCTGTTGCTTCTTGTTCAAGGTAGACAATTTATATATGTATTTGTTTTCTAATTGTGGATTATCAAGCAGTAGTCAGTATAACTTGGTGAGTTAAATTCGGAGAAGGGGTTTCTGCTTTCAGGCGGGTACTGCATTTGCTGTTCATAGCACAGGGCCGTCTCCGTTGTGGCTGCGTCCTCCCTCGGCCCTCCGGGAGGCACAGGTCTTCCAGCTGGGGCTTCCCTAGGGCCTCTGTCAGTGAGCAGATGCTTTTTCTAGGTTCCTGATTCTGTGGTCCTTGCTAGGTTTCAAGTAAATGGTGTTCTGAAGTATTCTGCTGCCTGAAGTCTCTGGAGCTTTGCTTGTATCTCATGTATGGCTGCAAAAAAAGAAAAAAAAAATTGCAGGCGATTTTGATACATTCTCCTAGCCTAGCCCTGCCACCTCCAAATGGCAAATAAAATTTTCTTTAGCTTTTCTGGTTTTCAGTTTCCTCTTTGTTTGTAGTCCAGAGGAATTTCTCTTAGTTTTCTCAAAGTAAATTTAGTATATAAACATTCCAGTTGTTTTGTAGTGGAGTAAGTTTCTGCTTATGAAAAGTGTTCATTAGCCAGGATTGGATAATTCAGCCTGACTCTGCCTAATATTTGCTTTGTAAATGGAAATACTAGCCCTTCTTTCCACCTTACTTTTTGCTACTAGCTTGTTTAACTTTTCTACTCTCAAGAGAAACAGCCTGGGGCTGGTGTTGTTTGTGGTAGAGTGGGTAAAAGCTATCACTTGTAGCATTAGCATCCCAAATGGGCTCCAGTTGAGTTCTGGCTCTTGGCTCCCAGCTAGAGTGCGTGGGAGAGCAATGCAGTATTCCCAAGTATTTAGGTCACTGCCACCCACGTGGGAAACCCAGATGGAGTTCCAGGCTCCTAGCTTTGACATGACCCAACCCTGTACGTTGTGGCCATTTGCGGAGTGAACCATTAAGATGGAAGATTACTCTCTCAAATACATAAATCTCAAAGGAAAAAAAAGATTACTCAGCTGCTTGTCTGTCATTCATCTTGTGATAATACAGGAATACAGCAGCTTCAGAGTTTCTGTGTAGAAAGAGAAAGGATGTAGACCATGATTTAGAGCTTTTGTGCAGTTTGGAGCCCCCGCGTAAAACTTTCTGATAATGTCTGATCTGCTTTTATATGAGCTACCTATGATGTGCAGGTAGTTCTTCCTTAGCCGCTTCCTTCTGCCAAATGAGGCCACACAGGGTCACCTTTACAAGCAGGTGGTGGTTCTCCTTAGCACATCTTGTAGGAATCGGTCATTTAACCCGTTTGTTTGATAGTCCAAAAGGACTTACTTTTACTTCCCAGTATAAACCTTTTTTTTTTTTAAAGATTTATTTTTATTATCTTTTTATTGGAAAGGCGGATATACAGAGAGGAGAGACAGAGAGGAAGATCTTCCGTCCGATGATTCACTCCCCAAGCGAGTTCAACGGCCGATACTATGCCGATCCGAGGCCAGGAGACTCTTTCGGGTCTCCCACGCAGGTGCAGGGTCCCAAAGCTTTGGGCCGTCCTCGACTGCTTTCCCGGGCCACAGGCAGGGAGCTGGATGGGAAGCAGGGCTGCTGGGATAGAACCAGCGCCCATATGGGATCTCGGGCGTGCAAGGCGAGGACCTTAACCACTTGGCGCCACCGCGTCGGGCCCCCCAGTATAAACCTTTAGTGTTAAAATTGTCTCTCTGAACACTGCTTATAAGTCTCATTCCATAAATTTTCATGTGTGTCTTCATTTTAATTCATTAAAATGCTTTCTTAACTTTCATTGTGATTTCTAATTTGACTTACGAATTTCCACACATTTGAGAATTCTTCTGGGGATCTTTCTGTTACTTGATTTCTGGTTTAGTTTGTTGTATTCAGAAAGCATGCTCATATGACTAAGTATTTTTACATTTCTTGAAATTTCTGTTGCAGTTTGTATATTGTCTTGCTAGGCATTCAGCATGTAGTTGGAATGTGTATTGCGTTTCTGTGTAAAGATTTACATAAATGTTAGATTTATATAAATAGTTTGGTTGATAAAATGTTATTTGAGCCTCATATCAGTACTGATTTTCTGCCTGCCTGCTTCTTTTTCCCCATGAAGGAGAACTGACGGTTTTACCATATGAAATGTCCCTTTTTCATCCCTGGTGGTTTTCTTTTGCTCTGCAGCCTGGAGAGGGCAATCAGAATTCAACTAGAAAACGTTTTTTATTATACATTCAAATACTGAATGTTTGATTTTCTAATGTTTAGGCGCTTACCCTTGCCATAGCTGTTTCTGCCGCTGTTCTGAATCTTACGTTATCCAGGTTTAAAGTGGGACATGTCTGCTTAGTATAGTATGCTAGGTGAATATTCAGAACCAGCTAAACACGAGTAAGTCTAGAAATGTAATAAGCATTTTTACCACACTAAATTTTACGGTCAAGCACAAAGCTACAGTTACAATCTACCTTTTTTCTATGTTGTAGGAATAGACTTTAAGATCAAAACAGTTGAATTACAAGGAAAGAAGATCAAGCTTCAAATATGGTAAGTATGCTACCTTACTCCTTTATGCGGCAGAGTGCCAAAGGTTTAGGGCTCAGACTGGAGCTCATGAGATCTGGTGGTTTAATTTTTTTCCACTTATTGTAGGGAATTGGTCAAGTTATGTACTGTTGTACTTTCGTATTTTTAAGTGTAAAGTGGAGATAATATCTGCTTAAAGGAGTTGTATGTAGATTTCATGAAATAATCAATGTAAAACTTTCAGTCATTATGCTTGGCTCATAAGACAGCCAGGACAACTAATATTATTATTATTATTATTATTATTATTATTATTTTAATATTCTTCATTACTTGAAGAATGCTAAACTAAGATACTTGTTTGTGTTTTTTTTTTAATGTATTGCAAACTTTATAGGCATTATGTTTCATTAGTTTATAGGGTTTTGCCCACCAAAGTACTATAAAATTACTGGAATTAGTACTTAAATCTGAATCATAGACTTTATAGTAGCAGTATTTCTCAGTGCTTATTATGTGTATTAACTCATTTAATACTCAGAATGCTATGAGACATTATCCCCAACTCCCTTTTAAAAAGATTTTGTTAATTTTACTTGAGTTACAGATAGAGAGATCCATCTATCCTCTCGTTCACTTCTTAAATAGCCACAATAGCCAGAGCTGAGCTGTTCTGAAGCCAGGAGTTTTTGGGTCTCCCACATTGGTGCGGTGTCCCAGGGCTTTGGCCATCTTCTGCTGCTTACCCAGGCCACAAGCAGAGGGCTGGATGGGGAGTAACGCAGCCAGGACATGAACCAGTGCCCATATGGAAATGCCAGTGTCACAGGCTGAGGATTACTTACTGTGCCACTGCACTGACTGCTCCTTTTTTCCAAAACAGCTTTATTAAGGTGAAACTAACAAACATTAAACACTGCACATATGAAAAGCAAATTATTAAATTTTGACGAATGTATAACTGCAGTGATATGATTACAGTAAGATCCTGATCTTAAAAGAGTCCTCATGACTCCTGCAGTGCTTCCAGCTCCTCTCCCCAGGTAGTCACACGGTCACTTTTCTGTCACTTCAGGTTGGTTTCTGTTGTTGAGTACCATGTGTACTGGAAATAATGTTCATGAAGCCATATAATGTGTTCTTCATGTCTTTTTGGAGGTGAGGTCTGGCATTTATGCAGCAGGTATTTTTTTAGTAAATTTTTTTACTTTTTATTGCTAAGTAATATTTCAGTGTTAAGATACATGACTTGTTTATCTATACAACATAGAAACTGCACGTCTGTATAGGCCTTGCCATTCTCCTGGATTATTATTTTTTTCCCACTCTTTTTAAATTACTATTATTTCCATTTTATCATACAGTTCCACAGACCCTAGGATTTCCCTTACCATCTCCCCAAATCCTTTCCCCTGCCCCCACCGAGTTTCCCTATATTATTACTGTAGTATAGTTCTTCATAACCAGTCCTATGTCCATCATTGTGGGCATGGACAATGGCAGAGTCCAGCATCCTATTGTCAAGAGGTAGTTAACAGTTTCATTGGAAGACCATGTTTGGTCTCGAAGTAGAGATGCATACTGCATTGTATCCTCACATCTGGATATGATAGTCTCCATTACACAGTCACTATACATCCCCTTAAATGAAAAGCCACAATACAAAATCAACAACAGGAAGAAAAATAGAAATTCACAATGCCATGAAGTTAAATAACATGTTACTGAATGACTGATGTGTCACTGAAGAAATGAAAAAGAAAATCAAGAACCTTCTTGAAGAAAATGATGCTACTGTATAATCTATGAGTCAGTGAAGAATTTAGTGAGTTTTGAAGAGATGAAACTAGAAAAAAAAAATCAGAGTTCATGAGCTATAGTTTCCACTGATCTTTGTTGGTGAGATAAGTCTCCTGTAGATGGGTTTGGTTTTGTAATCCAGTCTACTAATCTTTGATGTTTAATTGATGAGTTTAAGCCATTTACATTCAGGGTTAATATGAATGGGTAGTAATTTGGTCCTGTCTTTTAGCAAATGGCTGTTAATTGATTTAGTCTTCTATGGTTATTTTACTGGAATGTTCTTCACATTTGCCTTTGGTTTTGGTAGGTGACATTCCTCTTTTCTGTCAGGAGAACATCTTTAAGTATGATTTGTAGGGCAGATTTGGAAGAAGCATGTTCTTTTACCTTTTCTTTACTGTGGAAGAATTTTATTTCTTTCTTTTTTTTTTTTTGAAGATTTATTTTTATTGGAAAGGCGGATATACAGAGAGGAGAGACAGAGAGGAAGGTCTTCTGTCCGATGATTCACTCCCCAGGCAGCCGCAACGGCTGGAGCTGAGCCAATCCAAAGCCAGGAGTTTCTTCCAGGTCTCCCACACCAGTACAGGGTCCAAAGACTTTGGTCCATCCTCTACTGCTTTCCCAGGCCACAGGCAGGGAGCTGGATGGGAAGTGGAGCTGCCGGGATTAGCACCAGCACCCATATGGGATCCCGGGGCGTGCAAGGCGAGAACCCACTCCCCAAGTGAGCGCAACGGGCCGATACTATGCCTATCCGAAGCCAGGAGCCTCTTCCGGGTATCCCACACGGTTGCAGGGTCCCAAAGCTTTGGGCCGTCCTCGACTGCTTTCCCAGGCCACAGGCAGGGAGCTGGAAGGGAAGCAGGGCTGCTGGATAGAACCGGCGTCCATATGGGATCCCAGGCGTGCAAGGCGAGGACCTTAACCACTTGCGCCACCGCGTCGGGCCCCTTTTATTTCATTTTTAAAGACAGAGGATAATGAGACAGATAATGAGACAGTTTAACCAAGGTCTTAAGGTGGCAGTGAGCTGGGATGCATGTGTGTTCAACATGTAGGTTCCAGAGTAGTAGTCTTTCATATATGTGTGTATATGTGTGTATAGATATAGATACATATTAAATAGATACTATATAGATATATATATATATAGCAGAGAGATACAGAATGAGTTCTTCCACCTTGTGGTTCACTCCCAAATGCCTGCCACAGCTTGGATGTGCCATGCCAAAGTCAGTACCCAGAATGCAATCTGAGTCTCCCACAAGAGGGGCAGGAGTTGAAGCCCTTCAGCAGTTACCTGCTGCCTTCATGTACATTATCAAGAGGCTATGCCAGAAGTCAGAACTTGAGCTCAGACATTCTGATAATTAGCTTAACATGCCACCATGCCATATGAAGACTCTGCCGGCACTTTTGTGTAACTAATCTTTTGACCATAGCACCAGCATTGCATATGGGGTGCCAGTTCATGTCCTAGCTGCCCCACTTCTAATCTACCTCTGTGCTTAGGGCCTAGGAAAGCAGTGGAGAATTGTTCAGGGCCTTGGGCCCCTGTGCCCATGTGGGAGACCAGAAAAGGCTGGCTCCTGGCTGGAGCCTAGTTCTGGCTATAGCAGCCATTTGGGGAGTAAACCAGCAGATAGATTCATTCATATTCTCTCTCTCCTTCCCTCCCTCCCTCCTTTCCTCTCTTCCCACTTTCCCATTTCTTCCCCTCTCTCCCCCTTTCCTTTGAGATAAGTTTGCAGATTTCTGCTGGACCTCTAGGACTCAAGTGTAGCACAGAAATGGTAATTGTTAAATGTTGAAACATTTTTGATAGAACCTCTGTGAGACACAATTCTGCATGTTAATTTTCCAGAGAGAAGAGCCTGGAGCACAGGATTCAGAGACCTAATGTTTTTCTCTTATCTCCAGTTCAAATTAAACACATTCAGATACTTATTTCAGCATGAAATTTTGCTTTCTGTAATTATTGGGTACAGAAACTTCAGTCTCTGCTCAAGTTTTGTTGTTGGTTTTATTTGAATAATCATCATCTCTTGCTGTCACCAAGTGTCTTCATTCTGTTGCATTAAGGGTGGGGTGGGTCTTACTCTGAGCAGGGCATGTGTATTTAGTTTAGGTCTAAAGTGGAGAAAGCAGCTGTGGCCTTTGAAATCCTGGCTCTGTGGAAAGTTTCCACCAAAATACCTTCTGCTCCCTGTATTTTCTAGTCGTGGGGGTTTTTACCAGGAAAATATTCACAGTGTTACATCATTAGCAGTTTTTGCATCAGTAATGTCACCTAGAACCAATAGTTTGATTTTAGAGAATTAGCCTTTTATGTACATTAGATATTTTGAGTTCATCCTTGGTCTTTTTCCATTTCCCTTCCCTCCATGTTCACATTAGCACAGCAGACTGTATCTGAAATGTACGTACCTCTCTCCGTCTGTGGTCCTTGTGTCTGAGCCAGCATCACCTCCCTGAACAGGAGGTTTTTCTATGCTTACAGGTCTTTATCCTGCCCCTTGTCTTGTAGTGCTTTTTCCACTGATGTGTGTAACCTTTTCCAAATATAAACCTGATTGTTGCTGCCATTCATTCCACTAACTATAGTCCCTTTAACTTCATTGTGTTTCAAATCAAAGCCCAATTTCTTTATCTAAAACAAAAATTATTCTGAAGACAGATACACACAGATGGATGCCTCCTAGCTGCTGGTTCACTCCCCAGATGCCCACATCAGCCAAGGCTGCTAGACCTATCCTGGTTTTTGTTAGTGTTTTCTTTTTCCATAGATTTACTTATTTATTTGAAAGGCAGGGTTAGAGGAAGAGAGACACACACCAAGATCTTCATCTACTGGCTCACTTCCTAAAATGGAAGCTATTCTATTTCTGATTTGGCTTCCTGCTGATGTTAATAGGTGATAAATCATGACGTGTGTCCTTGCCTGCCTGCTACTCTGTGTGAAACCCTAACAGAGCTCCAGGCCCTGGGTTTGGCACAGTTGACTGTTGCAGGAATTTGGGGAGTGAAGCAAAAGGTGAAACATCTCTTTTTGCTTTCCAAGGGAAATTAAAAGTTAAAAAAAAAATTCTGTGCCAGGTGTGATAGCTAAGTGACTAAATCCTCCTCTTGAATGCGCTAGATCCTTGAAGGGCACCAGTTCATGTCCCAGTTGCTCCCTGCTTGTGGCCTGGGAAAGCAGTAGAGGATGGACCAAAGTCTTTGGATCCTGTACTGGTGTGGGAGACCTGGAAGAAACTCCTGGCTTAGGATTGGCTCAGCTCCAGCTGTTGCAGCCACTTGGGGAGTGAACCAGCAGATGGGAGATCTTTCTGTATCTCCTTCTCTCTGTATATCTGCTTATCTAGTAAAAATAAATCTTTTAAAAAAAAAAAATCCGCAAGTACTGCTATTAAATATTATGAGTTGAAAATGTAAATCTGTAAATTCAACCGTACATATATATATGTGCAGTGTTTAGTTTCTTGGTGGTTTAACCTGACTAAAGGATCAGTCCTGGAAGATTGAATAGCCTGGCTTTGATACGGGTTTTCAGAACGTTGTTTTCCTTGGCATTACCTAATTCTGCTTCTGTATACAACTACTCAAACTTACACACAGATTTTCAGCGTAATAAAAGGATGCTTCATGAAACCCAGATTAAATCATTTCCTTTCACAAATCCCATCAGTGATAGTCTTTCATCTTAGAAGGGCATGATCCTGTCACGGGGCTTGACGATCCTACACAGTCTGTGGTTCCTGCCTACTACCACATTTCCATCTCATTTATGTTTATTGAGGTTCATTCCCTAACTAATTTGCAGTGGTCTAGTTTGGACCAGGCCAAAGGCAGGAGCCAGGGGCTCCATCCATGTCTCCTATATGGGCAGCAATAGCCCAGATATTTGAATTCTTGTGTTCTGCCTCAAAGGTTGTGCATTAGCAGGAAGCTGGATAGAAGTAGAGGTGGGATTTGATCTTGGGCACTTGAATATAGGATGCAAGTATTTCTCAAGTGGTGGATGAATGTGCTATGCCGCAATATCCATCTTTTTAAAAAGAAGTCTTTATTTGAAAGGCAGAATTTAAAAAGGAGAAAAAAGGGAGATCTTCAGCTGTTAGCTCACTCACCAGTTGGCCTCCATGGCCAAAGCTAGGCCAAACAGGAGCCAGGAGTTTCTTCTAGGTCTCCCACATGGGTGCCACTGCTTTCCCAGGCACGTTAGCAGGGAGCTGGTTCAGAAGTGGAACAGCTGGGACTCAAACTGGCACTTTTGGGATGCCAGTGCTTCTGGCATTGACCCGTGCTACACCACAGCACCAGCTCCAAAACCTGTTCTCCTGCTGGTCTCCCTCTATTCCTTCATCCTGAGCACACTGACCCTTTTCTTATTCCTGACCTTTGTTTTGTCTTTTATTCTTCCCTATTGGACCACTGTTCTCCCACATACAAGTGGTGTGACTAACTTCCTTTTCTCGTCAATGAAACCTTCCCAGTTTCCACCCTGTTTCAATCTGAACTTGGCTAGCCCTGCAGCAGGAATCTCCCTAGGCCTCCTTGCTGTTTTATAAGCCTGGTAGTTTGCTTTATTTTTCTTGTGTGTACAGCTGGCTTCTCCTCACCTGGCTAGGGCCTGGGTTCTCTGCAGATGCTGGTCAGTGCACCCTGATAGGGAGATGGGCTCACCAGTCTTTATCCAGAGGCTGAGTTTTTAGGTCTTGGAGATGGGAGAAGAGGTGGCCTGGGCAGAGTTGCCTGGAGTGGCATCTTAGCCCCTCTGGCTGAGGTGTAACAGTTGCTTACACTGGCAGCAGAGTGGGCTGCAGCACAGAGGGACAGCAGCCAGCTGTTTTGGAAGGGCCTGTGTGCAGTGTACTGATCTTGGCCTCCTTTGTCCTCACTGTATGTGGGTGGCAGCAAGGTGGTGGCACTTAGCACCTAGACTGACATGACCGTTGTCTCTTACGGCAACGAATGCCTTGTGGCCAGTGAAGGTCTGATTTTACACAGTCATAATGTTTACACGTCTCATACTTGAGAACATTCCTGGGTTTGAGGGAGTCTCAGACAGGGACTCTGATGGACAGTGAGGAGAGAGATCTGCGGGAGTTTGAGCTGCATGTCTGGGACCAGAGGGCTCAGTTGGACTGGGAGCTGCTTCGTATGAAATAGCCAAAAACTAGAAAAAACTTTAAGTGTCCTTCTAAGTGTGAATAATTAAAAACATTGTAGAATAAAACAGGGTAGGCTAGTATTACATGGAGCAACTTGGATAGGATCTCAGGGACACTGATAAAGTGACAGATAACATACTGCCTGAGCCCATTTAGGTAGCATTCTCAAAATGACAAAAATTACAGAAATGGATAACACTGTTGGCCAGAGTTTGTAGGGCAGAAGGGTAGTAACAATAATTTGTTTTGTTGGTTGGTGGTTACATAAATCTACATATGATAAAATTGCAGGGAGTTCTGTTTACATGTGCACACTCAGGTGACATATAAAAAACGTGAAGCCAAATGAGGTTTGTAGATTATACCAATACAACCTTCCTGGTTTTGCTTTCATAGTCCAGTTTTGTAAGAGGTTACCATAAGAAAAAGCTCGGGGAGAGGTATCTGGAACCTTCACTGGTTCTGCAACTTCTTGAGTGCTATAATTATTTCAGAATAAAAAAGTGTTAGGAAGAGAAACAGAAATGAAGTTGTTAGCAGGAGGGATGTAGGATAGAGAAGATTTAAAAATTTTTCCTTTTTGGGGAAAAATAGGAAGTACCAAGATACAGACTGTATATCGATGAGAGAATGATCTATAGAAAAGGAATCTGTAATAGAATGAGGGCATCATTTTAGGTGCAAAATACACTTATACTTCCGACTGAAAGCATAGTAACAACTCCTGCTTACAGACTTTCGTCTTGTTTCTGGTTATTGAAATGCAGTTATCTTTTTACAGCTTAGTATGATTAGGTGTGAATGCAAGTCAGCTCTATCATCACGTCTTATGGTGTGGAACTAGATGGCTAAATCAGCTGGCATGCCAGGAGTCTTTGTGGTGCTTCCTATTTATGAAATCACTGCAAGAATTTTTATGTGTCACTTTTTATCACTTTCCAGATTTTCACCCAGTAAGATCACAAATTTGCTTCAAAATTATTTATCTATTTATAAAGTGCTGTAATTATTTATATGTAATAAGTTTTAAAAAGTTCAGTGAGTGGTTGTTCCTTCTTGCTTTATGGTATATAGTTGTGTTTATGATCTCTGTTTTACCAAATTGTTCTGTTTTGGTGTATAACTGGAGTGTAATAGTAGCACTGTCCTTATGATAGACTGTTGGCTGTTTGTTCCAGGGACACAGCAGGCCAGGAGCGATTTCACACCATCACAACCTCGTACTACAGAGGAGCAATGGGTATCATGCTAGTATATGACATCACCAACGGTAAAAGTTTTGAAAACATCAGCAAATGGCTTAGAAACATAGATGAGGTAAGATCTAGAAACTGCATTAATCCTTTATGACAATGTTCTTATTTAGGAAGAATATTCCAGTTAGTCTTCAGGATATAAAGTATTGTTGAAGTCACTGCTATTGATAATTTTGTGTGTGTGTTTAAGATTTATATATTTTTATCGCAAAGCCATATACAGAGAGGAAGATCTTCCATCCGATGATTCACCCCAAGTGGCCACAATGGTCGATCAGGAGCCAGGAGCCTCGAGCCTCTTCTGGGTCTCCCACATGGGTGCAGGGTACCCAGGCTTTGGGCCATCCTAAACTGCTTTCCCAGGCCACAATCAGGGAGTTTGATGGGAAGTGGGGCCGCCAGGATTAGAACCAGAGCCCATATGGGATCCCGGCACATTCAAGGCGAGGACTTTAGCTGCTAGGCCACGCCCATGTTTTGGATTCTGTATCCCCCATTTATGTCTTCCTCAGTTAACTCTGAGGTTGGCATAGGGTTTTGCTCCTTTGCAGGGATGTCTTCAGTAATATTCATTGTGCCTTTGTCTCTTCTTTTGCTCTTGTTCATTGTACTTCTGCTTAGCAGATTCTACTCCTTGGGGGCAGGTTTCTAAGCTGTGTCACCCACAGGTGTAAAATTCAGTTTTACTTATTGTGGTTGGTACACAGCTCTTTGTTTGCAGTCACTCATGCCACTCCCTACAGCGAGTTCCAGGTCTGAGTTCTTACGTTAGATTTCCACCATGGTCTCTGTAGCCCCAGGTCCTGGCTCACCAGTCTCTACCTCCTGTGATACTGTGCCAAGGCTGCACCATTGTCTGTACAATCTTTCTCCCAGTTGCTGTTAGAACAGTTTCCAGGATTATGGGGATACCAGGTGTCCTATATAGCTTGGTGTTTGTTGGTGGTGATCTTGCCGGAACCTGTTGGTCGTTAGGACTGAGGGCCACATGGACCTATTTTGACCTGTATGATGCCAGAGTTGGCATTATTTTCCTGTGGGACCAATGAAATGCACTGAGCTCAGTGAGCTTGCTCCCAGCTCTGCACCTGCGCAGCTCACCATTGTCCCCGCGGTCTTAAAATTTGCCACACTGTACAAAATGGCACCTGATGTGCCACTACTAAAGTTCTTGATCTGCTAGCTATCAGGTCTGAGGACTACTTGGACCTATCTTGGGTGGAACCTGTAAGAGGCAATGTTATTTTAGTTCACTGAGCTAGAAATAAGTTCACTCCAAGCTCAGTGCATGCTCAGTCCTGTCCTATAGAAAATGGCCCGCAGTTTGTCTCTAGGGGGCGGACTGGGCTGTGAAATCCACCGTGTTCCTGCACCACTTGTCTGGGACCTGCTGCTGTCTCTCTGCTCCTGGTGAAGTCAGACAGCAGGACGGACAGTTCTGGGTCTGGGTTCACCTCCTGAGCTTCCAGTGAACGCTCCTTCTCTCCTGGTTGCTGGTGGAATGCAGATCACCACTCGCTGAATGCCACTGGGTTATCTAGTCACTGTAACACCACACCATTTCCTGTGTCTGTCAGTCTCCAGGTCCCCCTCTGCTATCATTCTGTTCTCTCCTATTTTCTGGAATGTGTCCTCTCTGCTTCACACTGGTTAATGCTTCTGTTTAAACATGTCAGTGGCTTTTTATGGGTGTTGTGGTACAGTCAGCTAAGCGTGGTAGGCCTGTATCCCATGTTGGTGTACCTGGGACCTGTTCTTGCCTCTGCTTCTGTATTGGGGTACCTGGGACCCAAACCATTCCTTCTTCTGAACCAGCTTCCTACTTAAGTCCCCAGGAGACAGCACATAATGGCCCCTTGCACTCAGGATGGTGCTCCTAGCTTAAGCGACCAGTCTTGGCTATTGCAAGCACTGGGAGTGAGCCAGTGGATGAATGCTGTCTGTCTCAAATTTATTTAAAAAAAAAAAGTTTTGAGCATGCAATACGTTTGAGGTGATTACTTTAAAACTTTCAAGATAGGGCCTGGTACAGTAGCCTAGCAGCTAAAGTCCTTGCCTTGAACATGCTGGGATCTCATATGGGCGCCGGTTCTAGTCCCAGCGGCCCCACTTCACATCCAGCTCCCTGCCTGTGGCCAGGGAAAGCAGTCGAGGACAGCCCAAAGCTTTGGGACCCTGCACCCACATGGGAGACCTGGAGGGAGTTCCTGGCTCCTGGCTTCAGATTGGCATAGCACCGGCCATTGCACTCATTTGGGGAGTGAACCATCTGATGGAAGATCTTCCTCTCTCTCCTCCTCTCTGTATATCTGCCTTTCCAGTAAACATAAATAAATCTTTAAAAAAACCTTTCAAGATAGTGAAATAGCGTGAATTGAGAAAAATAATTTGACTGTTAATTTCACACATGAGTAAAGTTTGTCTTAAAACTTTGTTTCAGCATGCCAATGAAGATGTGGAAAGAATGTTACTAGGAAACAAGTGTGATATGGATGATAAAAGAGTTGTACCTAAAGGAAAAGGAGAACAGGTAAGGTTTTCTCCGTGCAGCTGCCGGGCTGCCACCTGCTGTGAGCGGGGTGTCGCTCCTGCTGCCCGTGCCGGGGGACTACACCGAGAGCCGGGCCTTTTCAAGTTCATTTTGGAAGCAGTAGTCTCCTGTTTGAGTATCACTTTTCAGTGCATATCTGACATCTACGGGAGAGCTTGCTCAGTGGCTATAGTATTTTTAACCTCATTTAGGTGACAAGAAAAAATCCTGATAATTGAGTCTTGGATTTTTCATTTTAAGCCTTTAAAGAAACGTTAGGGGTCACTGACCACACAGTCCGCTGGCGCGTCCAGCCGGCAGAGGTGGTGAGCTCTGTGGACAAACCAGACAGTCTTTTTGTGACGACATCTTTGTTCTTTCGTAGATTGCAAGAGAACATGGTATTAGATTTTTTGAGACTAGTGCAAAAGCAAATATAAACATTGAAAAGGCTTTCCTCACATTAGCTGAAGATATCCTTCGAAAGGTAAGCATTGTCGCTTCCTCTGCTGTCCTTACTGTCTTACGAAATATGCACTGCTCTGCTCACAGGCACTTCTCAAGTCAAAAGGATATTTATCTTACATTTCATCAACATTTGTTTATAGGCTGGTGTTTGGACACTATGTAAGTCTTTTAAAATTTCTGAGCAATAGAACAGTTTCTATTGCTATTTTAGATATTTTCGTTGTAGTAAATTTTCTGTGTAGAGTCATTAAAACTAGGCAACTTAATTTCTTAAAGCACAAGAAAGTTGCGTGCAAGTCAGCATTGCACTGGTCAGAACAGTGCTGGCTTCCTGCTGTCCCAGGCTTGCCCATGTGGTCCTTTCAGACCCCAGCTTCACATCAGGTTTGAGCAGTCTGTGTTTAAAGAGGTTTTCTGTGAGAATTCAGCAAAAAAAAAAAAAAAAAAATTGATTTCAGAAATAGTGAGGGAGGCTTTCAGCAATTAGGTATAGTGGATATTAATTGTATATTGAGTAGTTTAAAACAATGATATACGCAAACACACAATTGGCTGTGGTCAGCAAATAAACCCTGGAAGGAGAGGCATACCCCAAACATACTAGGCCCGGAGTGATGGGATTTGGGGCAGGGCTATACACAGAATTCCTCTTTACTCTTTTGGGCAGTTTTGTTCCCAGGTTCTAACATGTTTTTGTTTTTTGTTTTTTTTTTTTAAAAAAGACACGAACCAACACCTGTGTGGGATCCCAGTGCTTGAAGGAGAAGGCTGAGCTACTGCACCAGGCCCTAGAATTGGGTTTCACATGTTTTAAATTGCTTTCATTCTAAAGCTAATTTGGATGAGTACCTTGTTCCCATGTCAGAGCTCTCAGTGAGGCAAGCACAGCAGCTGGCCCACATCACTGGAGGGACGGGCAGGGGGCTCTTTTACCCACACGGAGACCCAAGCAGAGTTACCTGTTTCTGCCATCGGCCATGGTCCGGTCACAGCTCTTGTGCCCATTTAGGGACTCGGTCAGCAGATGGGAATTCCTTCTCTGTCCCTTATGCCTGTGAATTACTAAAAATAGGGCCAGCTTGGTGTGCTAATCCTGTGCTTGCAGCACCAGCATCCCATATGGCCACTGGTTTTGCATTTTTTTCCTGTAAACTTTGTTCATCCTTTGTCCCAGTTTTTCTGTTTATTGGTGTCCTGTGAAATCATGAAGAGGACTGTGAGCGACTTGCTGGGGTGAAGAGCAAACCTCTTGGGTTGGCGCCCTCCCTTCGGACCTGACCACAGCCGGGGGCACCCTGTGCCTTGCTCTGGGCCAGGACCTGAGCCAACTTATTCTCTTCCATACATGCTTCTCAGAGATCTAAGTTTGGGGGGAAAAAAAGAAAACTACAATAATCTTCATTGGAAAGGTAAATTTATTGGAGAGAAGGAGAAACAAGAGGAAGATCCAAGATGTGCAACAGCCAGAGTTGAGCTTCTTTCAGGTCTCCCATGTTAGGTGCCATGTTAGGTGTAGCTGCCTAAAGCCTTACCATCCTCTACTGCTTTCCCAGGCCACAATCAGGGAGCTGAATCAGAAGTTGAACAGCCAGGACACGAACTATCACCCGTATGGGGATCTGGCACAGGATTAGCCTGTTAAACTGTTGCACCAGCCCCACAAGTCTTTTGTATGTAATTTGCTGTTTTAACACTCCAGGAGGAAAAGAATCTCAAAAAAGCAGTGAGAATGGATAGTCTGCCCTGGGGCTAACCTGTGCACTGACTTCCACTGGAGACCAGTGGTGGCACAGTGGGCGGCTTGGAGCCTCAGCTGCTCCACTTCCCATCTAGCTCCCTCCTGATGTGCCTGGGAAGCTGTGGAAGAGGGTCCTCAAGTGCTCTGGCTCCTGTGCCCACATGGGAGGCCCAGATGAAGCTCCGGACCAGCTGTTTGGTTCGTTTAGGGAGTGAACCAGCAAGTGGAAGTTCTCTCGTCCTTCAAAGAAGTTAGAATTCACTTGAAGTTTCACTCCGTGAGCTACCTGGATTATGCTTGCCTTATTTTTATATTGTTTTCATGAGAGAATAGGTTCTTGATACATCCAAGATTTAAAATTCTGTTCATGACCTTAACGTTGCATACAAATAACATTGACGGATCATGTGGGTCGAGTGAGGAAGTTAGGTGCACAGGAATACAGACCTGACCTCCATGTGGAGGAATCCATGACCAAAACTTGGACTTGCAGAGGGTAGCACTGACTAAGTTACCACTGAAAAATGTTTCCCGATTATAGTGTAGGACTGCCTGATTTTAAGAGAACATTTACGGGGCCCAGTGTGGTGGCCTAGTGGTTCAAGTCCTCACCTTGAATGCACTGGGATCCCATATGGGCCCAGTTCGAATCACGGCAGTCCCGCATCCCATCCAGCTCCTGCTTGTGGCCTGGGAAAGCAGTGGAGGACAACCCAGGTCCTTGGGACCCTGCACCCACTTGGGAGACCCAGAAGAAGCTCCTGGCTTTGGATTGGCGCAGCACCGGCCATTGTGGTCACTTAGGGAGTGAATCATCGAATGGAAGATCTTCCTCTCTGTCTCTTCTCCTCTCTGTATATCTGACTTTGTAATAAAAATAAAAATCTTTTTAAAAAGGAACATTTAGAATGTTGGAGTTGAGGATTGCACCAAGAAACTCGCCCTCAGCTTGTTGCCAAGGAGGGGCTGCGCCAGCACTTCACAGCTTGTCACTCAGTCCTAGTTGAGGTGGCCTTTTTAACGTTGGGGTACTACCTCAAGACAGAGGGCTGTGTGCTTCCCTAGAGTTAGCTTTTATACAGCTTGCTTGCAGAACACTCAGATCGGGCTGAGATTACGGAATCTGTTCACAAAGATTTCAGGCTGATGTGTTTCCAGAAGTGTGGATAGACTTACCAGGAAGTGTTCACAGCTTTGCCTAAAGGAAGACCGAAACCGAACTTCCAACTCTGCTTGGGGGCGGTGCAGAAGACCAGTCCCATGTGACTCACTGCTTTTCGTTGCATAAATTGGTTTCCCCATGGCAGTTCTGTTCTTGTGTTTGTTGCAGACCCCTGTAAAAGAGCCCAACAGTGAAAACGTGGACATCAGCAGTGGAGGCGGCGTGACGGGCTGGAAGAGCAAGTGCTGCTGAGCGCCCCCTGCCGACAGCTGCCATCCACACGCGGTCTCTTGCTGCAAATAAACCACTGTCCATTTTCAACTCTAAACAGATATTTTGTTCCTCATCCTAACTATCCAGTCCACCTGTTTTATTTGTTCTCATCTGTGACTGCTTGCTTTTTCTTTAAACAAGAAAAATGTATAGAAAAATCATGTCTGTGACTTCATGTTTAAATGGACTTGCTCAGCTCACCACTGCATTTCAGTTGTATTATAGCCCAGTTCTTATCAACATTAAAACCTATAGCAATCATTTCAGCTCTATTCCGCAAATTGTATAAGAATAAAAGTTAGAATTAACAATTTTATTTTGTACAACAGTGGAATTTTCTGTTATGGATAATGTGCTTGAGTCCCTCTAACCTGTAGACATGTAATAGCAGAGGAAACAAACAAAAGCCAGGAACTCACTCATTTTCGCCTTGACTATGTAAATGAGGTTAATTTTGTCCTGTGCCTTATGTGGAAAGGAACTTTGGTTTTTCCTTTTTTGTTCTGCTGGAAGCATGTGCAGATCAGACGTGTAAGTCACTCGGACGTTGTGTGCTCAGCTCTGTCAGACTGGCTAACGAGGACAGGGGAGTGCAGACGCGCGTGCTCTGGTTTGCTGAGTCCCATTTGAAGTGGCCTTCATATTTAAAGCTGTCCCTGCCCCGTTCCTCCCTGGCCACTGTTCCTCGCACCTCCTGCATGCTGCTTTCTTTGCTTCTCCCCCTGGTATGAGTTATTTAAACATGAAAGGGGCAAACTAGTAGGATGTCAAGTTTAACGTAAAGCACTGATTTACCTTGCTAAGTAAACTGAAAGACACGTTTTAACTGCCTATTATCCAGTTGTCAGTTCATTGTGTCCTCCCCCTCTGCTCGCTCCCCCTTCCCCCTGCCCTCCCTCTCCGTCCACCGCGTTTCTGATCCGGAAGGGTTAATTGCATGCACTGGTGTTGGGGTGTTGGGGTTTGTCTTTCTGACTAGGCAGGTAGCCTCTCCACTGTCCTAGATCAGTCTCTTAACCTAAATGTCTCTTCTCTGTGTTGGCAACTCCTCTAGCAGTTGGGCTGCCCAGTAAAGGTGGTTTTAAAAACAAGGGCAGGGAGGAGTGAATTTTATTTACACATTTGCCAAATGTCTCGAGATTTGGCCTCTGTAGAACACTTTTCAGTGTTAAGTTGTTTCTACCTTAAGATTTAGAAGAACTCGGTTTCTAAGTCCTGTCTTCCCAGCCATTTTGGGAAACTTGCATTTGGAAGGACAGCAGAAGGCTTTCCGTCCGTGGAAGAGAGAAGACCTCGCACGAGCTCCCCCTGCCTGTTTGCCAGTTGTGCTTCATCACTGTCGTTAGGCTGGGGAAGTTCAGTTGGCTGTGCCACCAGCATCCTAAGATGACACCTTTGTTGAAAGCCTCGTGAATAGCACGATTCATTCCCGGCAGAGGCCGAGCTTAGGACAGCAGCTTCCGTTGAAAAGTCTCTGTGCCGTGAACAGCATCTTAATGACCTCTTGGCTCACACAGACAAGCAACATAGGGCTCTATCTGCTGCGAAAATCCATGAGTTTTCCAGATAGTGCCCTGGAAACCACTTTCTCTGCCTGACCGACTCTTCCTGGGCTTTCCTTCACTTGACCTTATTGTTTACTAGTGAAAAGCAGCATTGCCAAATAATCCCTCGTTTCCATTGAAGAAAAGATGAAGTCATACTGAATTTTTCAGTTTTAGTTTAAGCCTGTTAGATTAACTTTGTTACTTCCCTTTATCTGGAGTGTGGCAGTAGCTTTAATTTCTAACTCTTTAATCGTTATTCAGTGACCTAAAGTTCGAGAGCTCAACACTGGGATTTTTGGGTAACAGACTGACAGTTTCGGTGTTTGCATAATTATAATCGGCATTGTACATAGAAAGGGTGTGGCTACCTTTTGTTAAATCTGCACTTTCTAAATATCAAAAAAAAGGGAAATGGAGTATAAATCAATTTTTTGTATAATCTGTTTAAAACATGAGTTTTATTTGCTTACTATTAGGGCTTTGCCCCTTTTCTGTAAGTCTCTTGGGATCCTGTGTAGAAGCTGTTTTCATTAAAAACCCAACAGTGAAGTCCCTTCTCTGGCACTCGCTCAAATTCGGTTTCATATTCTACTTAACAATTTAAATAAACTGAAATATTTCTAGATGGTCTACTTCTGTTCCTGTGAAAACAAAGCCCGATTTCCAGCTGTGTGGTTTGCTCTTCATTTACAGGCTTACAGGGTTACTTCCACAAAAGGGCAGGACTTCCCACCTAAATGAAGTGTGGCAAAAACGGGGAGGGGAGGGGGAACATCTTATGATTTCCTGCTCAGTTTTCTGTTCAGATTAAAAAAGAAAAGTCATCTGAAGGCCAAGTCTGAGGCTGCCATCCCACTCTGCTGCCAGGCACACCCAAGGCCGCGCACAGCTGCAGGCAGCCTCCTGGGGTACCACGGCGGGCTAGCCGTCCTTGAGAACGCACCCTGTGTGAGCAGTGACTGTCCCTGTCAAGCAAGGCACGTCCTGCTGTGTCTTGAACGAGGGCCACAGCCTCAGCTTTCCCTAGCACTGGCCTGAGAAAGCTCTGACCTGGAAGTGAGGCCTCATTCATTCTTGGCAACAGAACCGTGTCTGGCTCAAAGACTAAAGGAAAGGTTTCCTCCTGCCCACTTGGATCACCTGGAGTTTGCGGTCCCATCTCTTCCCCCATCCATTTGCTTGCCTTGTGCATCCTGAAGGGCTGATGACTGCTCTTGGGATTGGCAGTGGAAGGTAGGATGTGATCTCTACCTTTTAAATGAGCTGGTTGAGAAAGCAGAGTGAACTCTGAACAGCACAAGAACTGTGTGTGCCACTAGGAAAGCACTTACACTGGCGCCACTGGCACAAGCAGCTGGGCTGGCTTTTCGGGGGTCGGTCCTTGGCTGCTGTCCAGTGTCCAGCTGCCTGGGTTTGAGTCCTGGTTTCACCCCCCAGTTCCATTTTTCTGCTATGTAAGGCAGACCCCAGGGGCAGGTGTCTGAAGGGAGCTCTGGCTGAGTGGAGGAAGAGAAAGACCCTAAAGCATGTTGAAAGAAAATATCTGAGTGTGTCATCATCTTGCTGTGATGGTGCCCATTGCTAATACGTAGGCACCTGCCAGGTCGCACGGCTAGGTGCTGCTGCAGGCCTGCCAGGCTTCTTAGGAGAAGTTTCTAAGGTTTGGTTTAAATGATTAGGACGAGTCACGAGCCGTGCAGTTTGCCGCCATCAGCTTAACCATGGCGTCTTTGGGCAGTGAGCACTTTGCTGCCGTTCCTGCCAAGTCTTACTTGTTACCCACCACCCTGCTTTTGTGTTTGGTGTTAGCCCCAGCCATCTTCCTGCCTGAGGGGAAGTTGGCGACTCTTCACCGTTCTTGTAATTGGCTGAGGTTTGCCTGGAGAAAAACTTTGGTTGTTTAATAAAGGCTGGGAAAGAGGTGTGTGGACACGCAGCATGCCAGCCCCCCGACCCCAGCAATATCCACCCCAGGGCTCGACCACAATCAGGAACCAGGGAGAGCAGCTGAGGTGAGCCTTGCTGGGATGCTCGGAGGTTTCTGGATGTGACTTTGCTGCATCTGGTTAAAGGGTCCCTGGTGGTAGCTAAAGTGTGGAAATCTGTATAGATAGAAACTGTATACTCCAGAGAGTTGCTCAACTATGAGTGCAAGGCTGTGAAGGCCTCGGGGTAAGGCAAGGGAAGCTGGACGGCTGGTGTGTCCCTGCAGGGAGCTGATGAGGAGCAGCTGGGCTTGTAGTGCCACACTGACCTGAGGCGCTGTGGACAAACCACAGGTGGTTGGCAGCCTCACCTGGCTCTGACACGGCCTTCCTCGGGCCTGGACCTCAGAGAGCTGTCGGTTCCAGATGAAGGGCCCTGCGTCCCTCCCAGTGTGCAGTTCTAGAGCTGAGTGAGAAGGCCCACTGGCTTTGGGTTCCTGAACCACCTTGAAAACGGTGGGACTGGAAGGAACCACACCTGCTTCTCTCTACGGAAGTGCCTGCAGCACCTCAGCGCCTGTAACGTCTCTTGTGAATGTGGTGTCCCTATAACTGCCTGCATGGTAAGGAAGACCTTGGAGGCTGCCACCAGTGTGCCAAGTGAGGCTTCTAGGCTAGCCTACGGCAGTGTGGCTGTCTAGTCCTGAGCTTGCACGCTGAGCACTGCCGTGTGGCCACATGTCCCCTCCACCAGCACAGACTAAGTCCTGGTCCTCTTCCCCAGGAGTGAGCTAGTACAGGGGTCACTTTTTCCATTGATGCGCTGGTTCCGATGGGAGGTGGCACCCATTACTCACCCCGCCTCAAGCCCACCTGCTGCAGGCTCCTGCAGTCATTGCGGCGCCACGCTTTTTTCCCCAGCAGTCATTGCGGTTGCTGTTCAGCGTAGGGCTTGGATGTGGCTCTCACTTGCTGGCACAGGCCTCCTGCCCTACTAAGTGTTGTTTTCTCTCACACCCAAAGCCGTCAGAGCCAACTCACCTCCCCTGTCATATGCAGCAAGGTGCTCAGCTTATCACCGTGCACACTTGAAGGGAATGAGGCACATACCTGCGCCAGCTGGGCCCCGCCCTGCAGCAGCTTGCTGCATACCTGCTCGCACACCCGCTCCGCAGCCTCAGCACCCGTCAGGCTGTCCAACGTTCGCTCCCATCAGTGTTGGTTTGGTTTCCTAGCTGTGAGCAGCAAAAGCCAACTTCGGTGGTGGGAAACCTTTCCTCGAAGGATTCTAGGGTCAGGTTTTAAACAAGGTAGTAGGAGTTGGCCCAAGTTTGCATTTCCACAAACCCATCCATAAAACTCCAGCAATAAGAAAGACAAAACCCATGCATACACATAGCAAAAGTGTTCTCAGAGACCCTGGAGACCGGGCAGGTGGGACAGAGTATGGGTGGGGGCAGGACCTGAATGGTAGCGGTGTCACATGTAAGGAACACCAGGGCCCAGGGGCTGCAGCCGAAGGTGTGCGCACTTGAGGAGCCCAGAAGTAGACAATGGTGGCTTCAGCTGTCTGCTTTCTCTTCCACCAGCTAAAAGAAACCAAGGCCTCCTGGCTGCCTGTGGAGGCGGCAAGACTGGGGTGACACATCAGTCAGCAGGGATGGATCAAAAGCCCTGGGGCACCAACTGGAAGTGGCCCATGCTGGCCAAAGGTGAGACCTTGAGCAGCAAAGCATTAAGGAGCCTCAGGCACATGAGAAGGTCTAAGTTTCCTGGGGACACCAGACCCAGAGGCTCCTTAATGCTTTGCTGCTCAAGGTGGGGGGCAGAAGTGGGAGCAAGGGCAATGTCTCCCCCAAATGAGTGGCGCCACTGGGGAACTGGACACTGAGTGACCAGAAGCTTCTCTGCTGACAAGGGCTCTGACAAAGAGGGAACTGCAGTTACAGCCCAAAAGTTTTACAACTAGTGGAGCTGAGCAACAATCGTGGCTACCAGTGTCACAAGGAGTTTCCAGCAGAACACAGTGCAGCTTATGATGCCATGCCCAGTAGGGTCAGTCCATAGTCCATGGGCACACGCCCATTTATCAGCGATCCAAGAACAGAACTGTATCAGCAAAACCCAGCCTCTTGATTAGCATTCAATGAGGGAGGTGGAATGCCAGGCAGAAACAATAAGGTGTACAGGGGAGACACGCAGGAGTGAAATGCTATGAAGGCTGCAGAGCAGGCAAGCCCAGGACGCCAGCATCCCCTGCTGGAGTGTGTGGTCAGCCCAGCACTGCCTCTTCCCATCCAGCTTCTGGCCAAGGCACCTGTTGCCCATGAGGAGCTCATGGCTCCTGACTTCCGCCTGGCCTAT